TTGGCACGCAGAGGACGCCACGCCAGAGAAAGCGCGATCAGGCCCTCGCAGGAGGACGCCCGAACCGGAGATGTTGAGGGTGACGCAGGCGCCTGGGGAGCAAGGCGTCGCACCCGGCAAGCACAGCGGCAGAAGCAACGCAGTGTCGCTGTCGCGGGCTGCGCACATCGCCAGCGGCAGGAAATACCTGGTGGACGAGCGTGGGCGGCGCTGACGGCGAGGAGAGGCACTCGAAGAGGGCGCGGGCGCCGGCCAGGACACTGCTGAGTACACTGTTGGATCTAGCGGATATCGGCGGCGGCGGCGGCGGTGGCGGTGGGAGAGTGACGGCCGCTGACGTGTGCGAGACATATGGCCCGGCGGACCATGATCAGCGTCCATCACGGGGCCCGGGGCGGTCCGGGGCCTCCCCTACCCCCTGACGCCTCTCCCCACCCTACCCACTGATCATAGAGGCAGCAATAATAAAATATCGAGGCCCCGTACTTAGTCGGCCGATTACATTGTTTGATAGCAATTAGGGGCGGCTGAGGTCGGCGCGGCCCTCGCTATTACGGCCCCGCCGCACCCGCACTGCCGCTGCCGCCGCCCGGCCGCCCACCGCCACCTGCAGAGTGCCCTTCGTCACCAACGCTCTGCCCAGCACGGAGAGGCAGCGGCGCGGGCGTGACCACGTGTCGCGACGAGCGGAGACACGCGCAGCGCTGTCCTCGCACCCGCACACGGCCGCCGCGCCGCGATTTACGACAGCGCGCAATAATTACTGACAACCTTTGCCATCATGACCATGTACCTGGCCCGCCTTGCCATGCCCAGCGTTCCCTTCCTTTTCTCGCCTCCCTTCCTCCCCATGTGTCCTGTCTCTCTGACCCTCCCCCCCCCCACTTCTCTGCTGGATCTCCTCTCCTCTGCCTCCTTTTCTTGCCTCACAGCAGCATGTCCACACCACACATTTCTTAGCCTGCACATTATCGAGGGCGCGAATGCATGCCTCTTCCACTTGCCTCACATCTGTGTTTCCCAATCTAGGCAATGATAATATCTTTACGCAACCATTTGATTCATGTTTTCAGCTGAAACACTGAATGCAGAGAAGAAATCATTTCGATCGCTGATACTAACATATTATTATGAAAAGCTTATTTTTTCTGCAAATCATCTGTTCAAGGTATATTGGTTGATCGACCAAGGCCAATGAAGAATTAGATGTATCAATGACCAAGGTCTTGGCGTATTAAAGAGATGATGAAACTTCCATTAGTCTTCGAGAACATGATAGCATACGAAACGAATATCGAGACAAATGGTCATGTTTTTTCTTCTTTATCAGTTAGTATTTTCATGGCTGATTTTAGTATCATCTCTCGAGAATTATTGTTTCCAGTAATGTTTTCCTATTT